CACCTCCCTCGACGCCATCGGAAGCGGTTGTGCGCACGACCGCCCTTTCTTCCGAGGCATATGCGGATGTCGGGAGTCTTCCACTTTCGTTCGAAGACTTCGCTGCCCAGCTCGTTCCTTCACTGCATGCTTCTCAAGGACAAGATACACGTGCGGCTTTCTCATCGTCCGGAGGTTCCTCCGCCACTTCGTCTTCATCAAGGGATTCGGCAAGCGCGTTCAACGAGGAGTTCTTGGACCCGCTCACGCCCGAGGACTTCGCTTGGATTCCTCTCCCTACGACGGGCAACCTTCCGGGGCCGCAAAGCGCAGCACTATCCGCCCTCTTACACGAGTATCTTTCCTTCCATGCACCACCAACTTCGTCGACGGTAGACGAAGTCGCGGTGGGGAACATGCTTGGCTATGTTGCCAAGGTGGCCCGCGAGTTTGTCTCGCAACGGTACAAAGAAAACAACGCACCGTTGCTCTACGTTCGCTTTCAGATTGGGCAAGCGGCCTGCAACGCCTTGCTAGATTGTGGCGCAACTCGCAACTTCATCAGCCAGTCCTTCATGACTCGGGCTGGCCTTRGCGCACAAGTACGGAGGAAGTCACATCCGACGACGATCGCTCTTGCCGACGGTAAGATGAAACAACTTTTAGACCGTTACATCTCGGCTGTCCCGGTGTACTTTGCACCGCACGCATGTCAACCCGTCACTTTTGACATATTGGACACCGACTTCGATGTCATTTTGGGGATGCCTTGGCTTTCTAGCGCGAACCACACGGTCAATTTCCATCGACGCACGCTCACGATTCGTGATGCAACTGGTGCCGAGGTCCCATGTACTATTCCTCCTCCTCGCTCTTCCATTAGGTGCCAAGTCGTGAGTGCCAAATCTTTTCGAGACGCATGCCGTTCCGAGCATGTCGAAGAGATTGGCATCGCTTTGCTTCGAACCGTCCCGACGACCGATTCATCGTCCACAGAAGTGTCTTCCGACCCCCGTGTGACCCAGTTGTTAGACGAGTTCTCGGATGTTTTTAAGACACCCTCCGATATAGTGCCGGACCGGCCAATCTCTCACGAGATCATACTTGAGGCCGGCGCCGTGCCACCGAAAGGATGCATTTATCGCATGTCCGAGGAGGAGCTCACGGTTCTTTGTGCGCAACTCGACGATCTACTCGACAAGGGTTGGATCCGCCCTAGCAGCTCACCTTACGGTGCGCCCGTTCTCTTCGTTCGGAAGAAGAACAAGGAC